TCCCAAGCCGCCTCCAAGAACGCCCATCTCTTGCTCGACTTCATCGTCGAGAACAACTTGCGCCATATCGATTCCAGGCTTCCTTCCAAACAAACGACAGCGACAGCAGCGCCGCAGGACACCGGCGCACATTGGGCCTCAGTCTTCACTCAGGAGCCCCGTCCGCGCAGCAAGCTACGTTCAGATCTGCTTCGGGGCCCTGGAGATGAGGCAGCCACGCTGCGAGCCGAATTCGAGCAAGCTTCGGATGCTGCGCCCCAGGCCCTCCAGGACCCGAGCTCATCCTCTACCTCCCCGCCTTCCTGGGCTACGCTATCTACGCGTCTGCGCAAGGCAGCAGGCGACGGCGTTGGGCGACGCACCCGACGAGATGACATGTCTGGCTTGGCCCGCACCGGAGAAGATGAACGATTTCTTGGGAAGCAGCGCGCAGAGCATCGGACCCCGAGGATCGGAAGATAGCGATGGACCATCATCGACTACTGAAGCAACGCTATCGGCGAGATCGACGACGATGGCGAGGCCCGCTGGCGCCTGAAGTTGTCAACGAGTGCGAGAAGGCCATGCGAGATCACGATCTCGGCAACTTCCATCGGCACCTTCGTGATCCAGGAGCATGGCTGAACGGTCAGGATGTTCGTGAGTCTTCACCGTTGGCAGCGCAGCAGACTCGATCACACTCCCTTCTGCTGGCAGGTCATCACAAAGACGTTCCCCTCGAGCGCGTCCAGGACGAGCCAAGGAGGGAGATCGACACGTTCCTGAGTTCACCTCTCGCTCGAGACGCACATGAAGATACCATCAGAGGCATGCGTGAGCCTGCGGGCAGGAAAATCGAGATCACCGTCGGCCTCTGGAAATCGGCGGGCCCCCACTCAGACTTGTGGGAGCTGGTCCTCCACTTGTGGAACGCCGACCCTGGTGACCGGGATCGGGATCTACGTCGCAGTCATGTTATTTTTCTATGGGGGGCGGAAAGGTTCCAGAGGTGATCTGAAGTAGCACCGAGGCATATCGCTGTTGTCTACACCGCCTCGGATCATCGCGCGGATTTCTGCGCGCAGGTTGTCAGCTCGGGCAGAGGATCGACGCCTTCTGGAGCCCGAGCAGTGGGGCTTCAGGACCTACAGGCGGGCGATCGATGCTGCCGTTCTGCTTCGCGCGACGGTCGAGTCGGCGGCCCGTGGCGCGCCCTTGCCAGAGGGGGGGCTTGAGAACGTGATCACCTTCACATTGGCAGATATCGAGGAAGCTGACCCTAATGTTCCTCAATCCCTTGCCTGTGCTATTCTGGAGAAGCTCGGGGCCCCCCCGGACGTGATCTCACGATTGGGCGGCCTCCACAGCGGTGCTGAGTACGTCATCCGCCTCCCAACCGAGGACTCCCGATCTTGCCAGCTTGGGGTGTCCCTCGCCCTGCGTCGTGCTCAACCTCACGCGCAATCTTGTCCACCGACGGCTCGGAGATCGCATCGGGGAAGGCGGGGTCTGGTTCTTTGCATTATCGACCTCCCCCGCGGCTCCGACCGCGCGGCGGCGCTCCACGAAGACGGCGGACAGCACATTCATCCCCACTCTTTTGCGTGTCTTGGGTTTCGCAGATGATACCACTGGAGAGAGTGGAATTTCCGAACAATCCAGAGTTGAAGACTTGATTGTTCAAAGCCTGGAGGCACTAGGGCAGCGAGCGCATCGCGCCAAAATTGATGGGCTCGTTGTTGTAGTTGCCATCCCTTTTTCCTCCACCGATCGCAGATGGAGCAAGCTGAGTACCGTGCGTGGCAACGGCTGGCCCAGCCACGCCTGCACGTCCGAGGCAAGCGACCGCAAGCACAAGTCTTCGCGGTGCCCGCAAAACGTATCCGTCTTCCTGCAGGTCATGCTGTGTTTGCTGAGCCTCCCCCCCACCCTGCCTCCAGCTAAGCGCGTGCGACTACGAGCCAAAGCAGCCGAAGCCCAGGCCCACGAGCGTGAGCTTCCTCCTCGTAGTCGTCGCTTACGCGGTAAACAAATAGGGACGGGGACCCCAAGTGAGCCCAGGAAGATCACCGACAAGGCGTCGTCCATGACCTGAAACACGGACCTCACCCGCCCGATCAAGCGCATCAGAAAGCCCAAACCTGGAAAGCTTACTCGTTATGATCGTACCGATAAAGTACTGCGGCTACTAAGAGTGCTCGCAAGCTGACCTGCCCGTACTGCCTGAAACAAATTCCGTATGCGATGCACAGGTACAAGTGTATATCGGCCCCTTACGAAACATGGCTGACATTTATTACGACTCGCACAAAGAAGAAAGCGACGGAGGAGGAGGAGAGAAAAACTTGAACTGCCGAGTGCCCCCAGTGTCCTAACAAGTTCCCATCGGTACTTGCATGTGCTGCTCACGTGGTAGTATGCCGTCATCGCAGGGCCCAAGCTGGCCTCGCAGTGCGGGGTTGAATCTCTGGACAGGTCAGTGCCACAGTCTTTGTCGTCGTCTCTCCCACCTGCTCGTCATCACGCTACCCACGTGCATGTCTGTTGCCATCGCAGGGTCCAAGCTCGCCTCAGTGTGGACTTGCGTCTCAGCATCGAAATGATCAGGGTCACGCACATCGTCTCCCTATTCTTCCACCTGGTCACCTTCATGCCATCAACGTTCGAGGCTGCCGGGGCATAATCATGTTGCCTCGGGTTTCTCCCGTGGTGGTGCGAGCAAGGGGCGTACACCGCCAACATCGACGGGTGGCCTCGAGGATCGGGTGCGCAACACTGAGCGTGTGATTGTTTCCCATGGGCGTGATCTGCATGAGCTTCAGGATCGGATATCGTACGCCATCTTCTTCACATCTGAGGCCGCCAAGAATGAGGTCTCTCAGCTTCGGGACGCCTTGAGGGCCCAGGATCGGGATTGGAAGGATAAACACCGAGAGCCGCTCAACACGGACAGAAGCGCCAGCATGGACGACCATGAGTTTGGATCCCAGCGCAATCTCCTTTTCAAGAAATTCCTCCGCATCTTCATTGGTAAAGTACCTCAAGGACCCCCCAAACCAGCATCCTCAGCAAGCTTGGCGGCCTCACACCAGAGCAGATGGATGACCAGATTTGTCGTTTCAAGCCCGCCAAGCACCCTGATCATCGTGAGGGTCGCACTTGGGTTTGGAAGCTCGTCCCGTCTAAATGTCGTGGGGGTTGAACTCCTCAGAGGCATCAGCGAGCTTGGCAAGGTCAGGACAGAGTCGTTGGGTATCGCTCATCAGAACAGTCGGGATGGGCCTCTTGTGCAGGGTATGTCTGGCAAGGGTAAAAGCAAGGGCAAGGGCAGGGGCGGAGATGTACACAAGCAGAAGCTGGCAAGAATAGTGACGACGGCATGGTCGAGGACACGGAGGCGGCGGAGCGGAAGGCGAAGGCGGGCCGTCGCATCGGTGACTGAGCTCGTCGTCGACGTCACGCACGGGGCCCAACTCGGGCTAGGGGTCGGAGCCTTAGGCGCCTACCCGAATGGGCCTGGCCGCCTCGGCCCCCGAGCAGCACGCGAGCCTCGGCTCGACCTCCGCATGGGGTGCACCTGTATGGGGCTATCTTCCTCGAGCTGCTCGGGGTCGTCGTCGGGAGGGCCCTCTCTTCCAGAAATTCGTTCAATATTGCCTGCGACGGCTCGGTCAAGCGCACGTATTTCGTCCTGGAGTTATTTTCCACGAACGCACTCTGGCCTTTGAGAGCTTCTCCAAGGCGTCGCAAACATTATCCCCCTCCTTCTCCTCCTTCTCCTCCTCCTCCCCAGTAAATGTTAAACGACCTAGCCAAGGGCAGGTGACCAGATCACTCGGCACAAGCTACAGCGTTCAAGGCCGCTCTGAAAACACGGTAGAGCTAATCACCACATGAGTAAGCGCAGCTCGATGACGAAACTTCTCCCCCTCCTCCTCCTCCTTCTCCTCCCCATCGTCCTCCTTCTCCGCCCCCGCCTCCTGCGGCGCCTCTTCCTCCTCCTCATCCTCCTCCTGCTCCTCTTCCTCCTCCTACACCTATCCTCCACCCTCCTCTTCCTCCTCCGCCTCTTCCTCATCCTTCTACTCCTACCAATCGTCTCCGTCCCCCTCCTGCTTCTGATCTTCCACCTTCTCCTCCTCCCACCTCACCTCCCCCATCTGATTCCCTCCACTCCCTCCCCTCTTGAACCTTCCCTTGCCTTCAGCCCTTCCCTCTTTCTCCTCCCCTCCTCCCGCCCCGTCCGCATGCCTCACTCCATCCCCTCCCATAACCCTTCCTTCCCATCCTTCTCCCCTCTCTCCCTTCCTCCCTCCCCTTCCCAGCCCTCCCCTCCCCTCCCAGCCTCTTCCCGCTCCCCCCTCCGCCCCCCCCCTCTCTCCCCCCTCCATCCCCCAGGGAACGACCTCACTCGATGGGGGGCCGAGAGCAGGGCGCTCAACCCTCCATGCCCAGGGCCGCCCAAGGCACACTGCGCCCGCTCGGCGTCGCATCGCCACGGGCGGCGCGAGAAGCGCAGCGAGTGGACCCGGTGGCGGAGCAAGGCGGCGGGGCCTTCCAACACTCCAAGACGGCCAAAGAGGCACCAAAGGTCGCCCCAAGACAACCCAAAAGGCTCCCCAGAGGGCCCCGAGGCCCAAGAGGTCCCTGGGATGGTTCCAGAGGCCACCCAAGAGGGGAAAGGGAGGGAACCCGAAGTGAGATTCCGAGTCCTTCCCCCAAAGGTGGCCCCCCGAGACTGCCAGAAAGCCGCAAAGAACCTTCTGGAGGGGTCGAACAGCGCACCCCCGGTATTTTTTTGGCGGAGCCCGGAATTCTGGAATAAGGCAAAACCTGGAACTGGCTCATGCGAAGCCCTGAATCCCGCCGGAAGCCTGGACCTCCTTCAGACGGAGCCCGGAAACGATTCGGCAAGAACAGCGACGTCTTGTCGTGGAAGCGGTAGGCCGATCTCGCGAGAATGCCTGGGGGCGAGACATATGCTTCACTGGAGCAACGCAGGAAGCGAGGAGCGGAAGAGCTCCTCGCAGGAGCGGGAACTCGTCCTCGAAGCTCCAGGTCCGGGTCGAGTTGGCCGCGCCGCCCCCCGCAGGGGAGTCCCGGCTCGCAATGGAGGTGGCATGGTGGGCGGCATTGTTGACGGCGTGGGGCGTCAGCTTCGCTTTGAGGTCTGTCGGGGAAGGGGGGGAAGGGATGGGCAGGAGAGGCAGGAGGATGGTGATGATGATGATGATGATGATGATGATGATGATGATGCTGATGATGATGATGACGATGATGATGATGACGACTATGATGATGAGGAGGATGATGAGGATGCGGATGAGGATGGTGGTGATGATGATGAGGAATATAGATGGCGATGCAGATGATGAGAACGATGGTGGTGATGGTAGTGACGATGATGACGATGATGACGATGATGCTGGTGATAATGATGATGTTGACGGTGACGATTTTGATGATGTTGTTGATGATGGTGATCGGCTTCATTGGGCTGGTAATCATGACGACGATGTTGATCATGGCGTTGATGGTGGTGATCATGGTGATGATAACGAAGGTGGTGATGACGATGATGCTGTGGATAGTGAGTGCTATGTTGGATAGGACGATGGCCACGATAGTGGAAATTATGTTGATGATAATTACAGCGGTAATGAATAGTATTGAGATGGTGATCAGGGTGGCGACGATGATGATTAGATAATTGCTGCTGATGCTGATAATGCTGACAGTGGTGGTTGTGATTCTGATGCTGGTGATACGGTGGGGGCACTGGTGCTGATGGTGACGACGGCGACGATGGTGATGATGCTGGTAATCATGATGATGACTATGATGGTGATGATGCTGACGATGATGATGATGATGATGATGATGATGATGATGATGATGATGATGAGGATGCGGATGGTGATGAGTATGATGGTGATGATGACGATGACGGGCATGATGATGATGCTGGTACCCATAACGATGATGCTGCTGATGATGATGCTGATGATGATGCTGTTGATGTTGCTGATGACGATTATGATGGTGCTGCTTCTGCTGATGACGATGCTGTGATGATGAAGAAGAAGAAGAAGGGCGAGACAGGGGCGAGACAAGGGCGGCAGAGAGGGGTCCACGAGCAAACGGAGGGGCCGAGAGTGCCCGACAGAGCGACCAGAACGCGAAGTACAAGACGCGCGCGAAACGCGAGGGGCCCACGGGCCCCTGTCCCCCAGAGGAAGAAGCTCCAGCACCTCGGGGGACTCTCTGGTAACTCGGATGACACAGGGGACGCCACGGCACAGTACCGAGAAGGGCGGCGGTACAGGCCCTGAGGCGGCTAGGGCGCTCTTTCAGAGACCCCCCCTCCTCGCATGGGTTAAGCAGTTCTTCGGCAGTTTTCAAGGAGAAGCTGTCTCAAATGCTGTAACGCTAATGAGAAGCAGCATGCGCATTCACTTCCGGGGCTCCGCGTGAATTTCTTGGATCTGCGCTGGGCCTCACCGGTGGCGCCTCTGGCGCCGCCCTCGGTGCGCTCCGCGCACCGAGATGGGGAGGTCAGCACAGGTCCAAGAGAAATCTGCGCCAGGCTCCGAGTTTATGTATGCAAATTGTCCTTCTTCGACGTTGGTCTCCTGCGAGTCCCGGGGGCTGTGCGTGGAAGATTGGCTCAACGGTTAAGCAAGATCCTGCCGGAGAGGTGGCCCCAGACTCCTCAATCGGACAGCCTCTGAATCCTCGCCTCGGCCGTAAGAGACTCACAATTGGCGGCGCCCTGCGGGCGCCGCTGGGGGCCACAACGATCACACGAGGGCCGCGAGGAACCGTTCCCTGGGTCCGTGCGGGGAAACTCCCCTTCAACGCTTCGTCGACGCCCCCGGGAGGGAAGATAGATGGGCGGGCCCTTAGTAGGCCCCGGAAACGGCAGGGCCGTTTTTTCAACGTTTCCGAACAAATGTCCCTTGAAAATGGAAACGGCAAAAAGGCGGCGACCGGAGACGGCAACAAAAACGGCTCCAAGATTGGAACCGGAGCGGGAACCCGTGAAAGAACGGCGACGGAACCGGTAAAAAAACGGCGTCGGAACCGGCAACAAAAACGGCAAAACGGAACCGGTAAAAGAACGGCCCTGTAGTTTCCAGGGCCCACTAAGGGCGGGCCTTCTCGGAAGACCCAGAATGCCGCCAGCCTTCTGAGGAGCTTCTGGGTCTCCGCCGAAGCCTCGGGGCCTTCTGGGAGGGCCTGACCCCGCTGACTTCCCCCTTCCGCGCGCCGCCGAATGGTGGCAGCTTTGTCCTCGCGGGCAACTGAAGAGTGCGTGCCTCCATGCGCGCACTCGGGATCGGATGCGGCCAAACTTGCGCCAGCGCCCCGTCGGGTTGACGAGGGCCAGGATTTGTGAATTTATGTGTGCCGGGACCTAAACTGCGGGGCGGCGCGCGCATACTTCTGCGGCCGCATCGCCTCCTCCATCGGCTGCGGATGTTGGAGGCGTCGCTCCGAAGAAGGCCCCCATGCAACCCAGGGGCGAAGCGGGCAGCACCCGCCTCACACGGCACACCGCTGCAACTAGCGTGACGCAGCTGTTGCCTCGCTTGAACCTCTGTGGTGCAGCGTGGCTAGTGGCGAATACGACAGCCCCCCCTTTCTGGGGGCCACCAGGCTGCGAAGCACAGGCCCCAGCACATTGGCAGCCTGTGGTGAATGGTTGCCTGCGGTTGCTGGCTGCTCTGTGACGAAGGCTTGCAAAAATGAGCGATTTGGGCAGCACGATTCCACCCAGCCGATCAGGGAGGGGTGCCCTCGACAGAGGGCGAAGCCTCAATATTCATGAATGACAGTGTATTTGAAACCGATGGAACAAAACGACACGAACCCGGTGGCGGGGTTGCCGTTCCGAGCCGCCGCGTCTCAGCGCTTCTTCTGCTGCTCACCCCACCGCTCGCAACTCTGCATGTAGGCATTGCCTGCCGCATTCACTGTGCCGTCCTTGTTGAAGAGCTGCAGGTTGTAAGTTCCACCCGCCATGTTCATGTTGAACCTGGGGAACCAAAAGGTACCGATACCCCTACTCCCCAGGCCTCTCCCGGGGTGCGTTCTGACTGAGATTTCGAGGCGAATCCAGAAGCATAGACGAGGGCCTCCCACAAGGCCAAAACGGGCGACCAACGAGAGAAGGGCAGAGGTATCGCTAGCCTTCCTGCCCCGAGGACCAGGAGAAGCCCTTCACGACACCCCGGCCGTCCTTGGCCGTGGCGTTGGCCACCAGCTGAAACAGCCTGGTGATGTAATCGGCGAGGCCGTCGTCGGGGCACGCGTGGTCCTCCTGAGCGGACGCCGGGAATCGCCCCGAGTTCTCCACGCAGATCGGCATCTCGTCGGAGGGCGCCGCGCAGTTCAGCATGCCGACCTGGGGGGAACTGCTGCGCCAGCAACAGCTTCTCGGAGCTCCGCGCCTGGCCCCCCTGGCGCCAGGGGAGGCCCAGCGCCGGTCCAAGAAAGCCGCGCGGAGCTCCGAAAGCTTCCGTTTCCGCAGCTTGTTCTTCGCTGGAACCTCATTGATGATGGCGCCCTTCAGGAAATCGTACTGGTCCATCAGGCGCGCAACGTAGTCCAGCTTCGCCTGGAACTTCCTGTAGCCCCCCGACTCCTCGGGCTGGCAGTCGAACGCGTAGAAGTGGAACCCGACGAAGGCTGGGCAGCCGCACGCGGCCTCGGTGCACTCGCAGCCCTGCGGGTCCCCGCTGCAGCCGCACGCGGCGTCGATGAACTTCTCGGCGTACTCCAGGTTGTCCTCGGCTACGCGCAAGAGCAGGATCAGTCAGCATCACATCGGGGAGCAGGATCGACTTGAAATGCGGGTCGGATCTGACCGCATCGGCACGGGGTCGCAATCGAATCGGATCCGCCAAGCCAGGATACACACCAACGCCATGCGAACATCGGGCCGCATCGGATCGTCGGAATTTGAACAGGGAGCGACCGTCCCAGCCTTCTTATAGGCCTACCACGAGACGTTCTCAGAACCCCAAGCAAGGTTACAAAAAGAACCACCCTGTTCTTGGAACACGAGGCCGACGTGTTGAAACAAGAGAGCCCGAGCCAGAAATGTTCTAAGAACATTTCGCACAAACCACAAAGGGTTCTTGGAACATTCTTGGGTGGGCCCACAAGCAAGCCGGGGCGCCTCGCCACTGCTCGAAACGCGTCGGCATCGGAAACGAATCGGACAGAGCCGGCCAGAACCAGTATCGAATCGGTCCGAGCGGGCCGGAAGATAGGCCCAGAAGAGTGGCCCCAGGCAAGAGCTAGGTCGGGCATTTCCTTCTACAGGCGGATCTTGGACGAAAGAACAGAACAAACAGCAAAACTATACATACTCAGACACAATTTAACAGATACTCAAAAACATCGTCCCCAGACAATTTCAGACCATTTTGGACTGTTCCTCATGTAGAGGGACAGGCCCGACTTCAGAGAGGCCCCATAGGCAATAGTTGCACGGTTTCTCCCGGGGCAGTAGGCGACCCGAGGAGGAGGAGGAGGAGGAGGAGGAGGAGGAGGAGGAGGAGGAGGACGAGGAGGAGGAGGACGAGGAGGAGGAGGAGGAGGAGGAGGAGGTTGAGGAGGGGGAGGGGAGGAGGAGGAGGAGGAGGAGGAGGAGGAGGAGGAGGAGGAGAGGAGGAGGGAGGGAGGAGGAGGAGGAGGAGGAGGAGGAGGAGGAGGAGGAGGAGGAGGAGGAGGAGGAGGAGGAGGAGGAGGAGGAGGGAGGAGGAGGAGGAGGAGGAGGAGGAGAGGAGGAGGAGGAGGAGGGGGAGGAGGAGGAGGAGGAGGAGGAGGAGGAGGAGGAGGAGGAGGAGAGAGGAGGAGGAGGAGGAGGAGGGAGGAGGAGGAGGAGGAGGAGGAGGAGGAGGAGGAGGAGGAGGAGGAGAAGGAGGAGGAGTAGGAGGAGGAGGAGGAGCACGAGGAGGAGGAGGAGGAGGAGGAGGAGGAGGAGGAGGAGGAGGAGGAGGAGGAGGAGGAGGGAGGAGGGAGGAGGAGGTGGAGGAGCGGAGGAGGAGGAGGAGGAGGAGGAGGAGGAGGAGGAGGAGGAGGAGGACGAGGAGGAGGAGGACGAGGGCGGGTCGCCAAAACCCTTCGGAGAAACCCTCCAGCAAGAGTGACCTCCCAGGTGCGGGCCTTGCCGGTCGCGGCGCACGGGGCGGCCGCGGCGGCCCGCGCGCCTAGGGGCGTTGCTGCTCCCCGGTCCGCCCCACGGCCGCGCACCGCGCGAGCGCGAATTGTTGTCGCGCTCCGCGCAGCCTCGTCCTCGTCCCTCCCTCCTCCTCCTCCTCCTCCTCATCCACCCTCTCCTCCTCCTCCTCCTCCTCCTCCTCCTCCTCCTCCTCCTCCTCCTCCTCCTCCTCCTCCTCCTCCTCCTCCTCCTCCTCCTCCTCCTGCTCCTCCCAAGCGCGAAGGCCCGCACCCTTTTTCTGGCAAGGGGCACGATGGGGCTCCCAGGTGGCTGGCTCATCGGAGGTGCGGTAGCAGCGGCTTGCGAGCTCGGCTCGGGCCTCCCCGCGCTCCCCTACAGCGGAGGCCAGTCCACAAGAAACCTTGCACGATAATCCCAACCCTGAGACCCTAGGGCGTCCATTGATGTTTGGTGTGGGAACGTTACGTTTTTCTGGGCCGAACCATCGAGACCTTGGAAACCCAGGGCGCACTGGAGGCAAGCAGGGTGTTTCTTGGCATGGGCCTCCACTGTACGCCCCGCCCCCCCAAGAGCCGCGCACCACCAAAGGCCACGCCCCTCCTGCCCAGGGCCGCTCTGGCGTGCAGCCCACGATGAAGGGGCCCTGGGACACACAAATAAATACACACACATAACAGAATTTGCTCGGGCTTCCGTTCGAGGCCATTTCAACATACAGTGGCGCCACCGTCCGGAGCGAGTGGGCAGGCAAGCAACGAGCCACAATACCTTCCTCACAAGAGTGTGGCTTTGGCCACACGCACTGCTCAAGGCGAAAGATGGGCGGGCGTGGTGGGCGCCTTGGGCCCAAACGGTTAAGGCGGCCCGACCGACCCACTCATGCTCCGCAAAAACATGTTAATATAACTGCAATTGCTTGGGCTTCCGCTCGAGGCCAGACGACGATGTGTTTTAACATACAGTGGCGCCACCGACCGGAGCGAGTGGGCAGGCAAGCAACGAGTCACAATGCCTTCCTCATAAGAATGTGGCTTTGGCCACACGCGCTGCAAGGACCGCACCGTCAAGCTAGAAAACGCCATACTTGCACGAGTGCCAATTGGCTCCGCCGGGACATAAGCAATATACAGGAACCTGTCAAATTTCTGAGCGGTCCGCGCAGCAATTATGTCCCAGAACCGTTTGGCGATGAAACTGCAAAGCGGGGCTGGATATAGTTCGACAGCTTCAGTCCAAAACGCACTGTCCTGACGCTTGCGGACCAGTTGCTGGTGAGGCTCGCCAGTGCGGGCACACATTCTGCGGCTGCCGAGGCACCTGCGAGTGGCGAGGCCGGAGATATCGACAAGATACGACACAAACGTGGTGGGTTTCTTAAAGGGTCCAGCCCACATGCAGAAATCAGTGTACACACTACTTACAGTCTTCGGTTTGGTAAGGGCAACGATTGAATTACACAGCCACAGGCGCGAGGTGCGCGGATCCTCCAGGGACCAGGGAACCCGACGGAGGATGGCCTCACGACACAAACGGCATGCGAAGCGAGTGAGATTATTGGCCAGCGTCACTTTGCGCTGCAGAGCGGCCGAGAGGCTCGGCAGCCCCCGCGGCCAAACGTCGCTTCTCAGCGGCGGGGGCCCGCCCCCACGGTCGCGGACGCGGGAGTGGGTCTGGCACGGCAGCGCAACGTGAAACCCGACGATGAGTCCGCCAGCGAGCCAGCCCATCAGCAGGTCCTGGTTCTTGCCCAGCGTCAGGTCATTGGCGTCACCGAACGAGATGTCCCACCAGAGCACCTGCAGGCCTTAGCGCGCAGCCGCCCGCCCGAGCCTGCCTGAGCCAGAGAAGATCTCCACGAAGACGGGGGCTCTCAAGGGCTCGCGCAGGGCTGGCGTCGCCCGGCCGCAACGTCGGCGAGCAAGTCGGCGCAGCGCAGCGCGTGGGCACGGAGCGGGGCGGTCAGGCGCTCGAGCACCTCGCCGAGCCTCGCCCCCATTTTGCACCGGCGGAGGCTGCTGTGGGCGCGCCAGCGGCCACGGTGGCGGATCTGATCCAGCGTCCTCGCGCCGGTCGCCGCGTCGCGGCTTGCGCCGCCGCGGCGCAGCTGGTAGCGGCAGACCACGCCCACGCGCCGCAGCCCCAGCGCCTGCGCCGCCCTGTCGAGAGCCTGCCCCGCCTGAGTGCTGCTGATCGTGAATAGCGGAGCCGCCGCGGCAGCACCCACGGGACGCTTCAGCACGGCCTGGCGCCACTGGGCTCCAAACCGGGCCTCCAGCGTGGCGGCGAGGGCTGGGCCGAGAGCCGCCTTGCGGTCGAGGTCCAGGAGCTGCGCCTGGTCGAACTCCTGGGTCTTCGAGGCCACCCCGTGCTCGCGGGCGCGCAGCGCCAGCGCCCAGCTCCCCTCGGCCGGCGAGCCCGCCACGGGCGGCGCGAGGTCCTGCGCGCGGAGGGTGAACGGCTCGTTCGGGCCATAGTACATCTCGAACGTCAGCCACGTCACGGGCCCCTCCTTCCACAGGCCGAGCAGCCACATCCACATCACGACCATGCACATCACCTCGCGCGGCACTCCGAGCCTCGACCCAGCAGGCGCCGGCCGCTGCCAGCCCTGGAACGCACGGCGGCTCCGCGGCATCCGCGCGCCGCCCGCCTTGCTCAGGACCGACTGGTGCAACAGCGCCGCTGCGAGCATCCGCCGCCCCAGGCTCACGCGCGCGCCGTCGAGGTACATCTCGTCCAGGCACTGCGCCAGCGTCTGGTCGGAGTCGACCTCGCCCTCCGGCATCGGGCGGCCCTGGCGCTTCAGCTGCCAGCGCTTGAACAAGGCAAAGTCGTCTCGGCACAGCCGCAACGTAGCGGGGCGAACCGAGTGAGTCTGGCAGACGGTCATCCCTTCGGCCGCGGTCGCCGCAGCCCGACGCCTCGCAGCTTCCCTCATGTTGGCCTGCCCGGCGCGCGGCGCCGACGCTGGCGCTGGCGCCCGCGATGCCCGCCGAGGGGCAGCCGCCGGCGCGCTGCTGGGGGCGGCCCGCATAGGAAACGCCGCTGACGAAGACAGGCTCGAAGCGGCGGGCGTCCGCGTCTGACTGCTCCTCCCCGAGGGCCTCGAAGCCGACCCATTCGACAGGGGGCCGGTCGACGGCGTCGCCCGCGGCAGCATCGCCACCAGACGCGGCGCGAGGCCGCGGGGCAGGCGTGGCCTGCCCAGCCAAGCGAAGCCACTCCAGCTCGCGGGGCTTCGAGAGAGAAGGCGGCTGCGGCACCGAGGGAACGGCCAGCCCCATCGAGGGCCCGTCGGCCACGTTCCACTCTGAGGGGAGCCACCGGCAGTGTAGCATACACCCAGTGGCGAGACAGAGAGCAGCGACAGACTGGGTGACCTTAAGCATTGCCCTGGAATCGGATCGCCCCGTCGAACAAGCACGCGCCGCGACGAGGGCATCTCCCAAGACCGCGATTCGAAGCCCGAAGTTCTGAGCGTTCCTCAGGGCGTGCCGCAGCGCGTGCAAGATGGCCCGTCCCTCAATAATCGGCATCGGCTCCTCGACCTTCCACTTGTGCGCCCAAGAGTCTTCCAGCCGCGTCTCGAGGGCTTCAGGGGCACCTCACGAAGCGCGGTCTCACGAGCATCCCCGAGCCCAGATCCCAGAACAGCGGCGGTACTGCCAGCAGGCGGCGGGCCCCCGTCGATATCACAAAGTCCCCCGCGCCCGTTGTCGTGCACCCCGGACAGCCACTGCACCTCGGGGTCGTCGGACACGGCGGCAGCGGCGGCAGCCTGAAGTCGCGGAGGAAGACGCGGACCCCGAGAGAAACGCCAGCGCTCGCAATACCTCCCAAGCCCACGGGCCTCCTCGACAGAGATCGGCGACGAGCAGACGCCAAGACCAGTCGGGGACGCGTCAACGGCATACAGCGACGGCCCCCACGAGGCCTTCAGGTTGCGCCACGCCACAGCAGCGGGGCGATCCCCTCCCAGATCGTGAGCGCGTTGATGACGCTGGGCCACAGCGGGGCTTCCTCAGAGTAGAAGCGGCGGATGAACGCAAACAGCGCGCCGAAGACAGAGAGGCTCTCCCTTCTGACCAGGCTGATGAACCCCATATAGCCCACGAGTCTCCCCATGACCTTTCCAGAGACGCGGCCGCGGCGAAGCGCGGCGCGGACGCGTGGGCGGGCTCTCCAGACACGGGCCCGAGTGGGCCTCAGGACGGCGGCCCGGCAGCTGATGTCCCATCCCAAGACGGTGCGGTCACGAGCGAGACCCCCCCTGGTCGAGTCGACATCGGCGGTCGCAACCAACGCGGCCTCCCTGAATCCCTCGACGACGGCGGACGCGAGCCGACGCGCCTTGAAGGCGACAGTCGAATAGCCACGAAGTTGTCGACATACTCAGGATGGCAGGCGCCCGCGAGAGGGGGAATCAAGCGGCGGCCCTGTAGCCACTCCTCGGGTCGCCCTCCACACCGCTCAACCAATCTCTCATGCACGCGTTGACACCGCCACAACGCCCAGGCCCACCCCGTCGGGCAAACACGGAGCCCGGGGTACACCCGCACCCCGTTGCGCACCGGCACCCCGTCAATCTCGGTCAGACCGATATCGTAAGCACGAACGCGCCTAAGGGTGAACAGATCCCGCAGCTCGACAGGCAGCTGCAGTTGGTAGAATGCATTAGACAGATCAGCTTCTGAAATATATAGCGTCTCGTCTTCGCCGACCTCGAGGTTCCCAAGGGTCTCCCCAGTGCAAAGCGTGACGTTATCAGGCTCTCGAAACCAAGCGTTGCTGTGGCGACAATCACACGCAAGTGTCAACCGTTGATCCTTTCTTGGCACACAGAAGAACTCCACGGACTCTCCGCCGCGGTCGTAGGCGACATCCAGCAGGCCGCTGCGCTGGGTCAGAATAGGGCGCCCTCACGCCGCGCATCTTTCTCCTCTCCAGCGCCGGTCCCGCAAGTAGCACACTATCGCGGACAAGCTCCGCGACGTGCCTGCGCCCGCCTGCGCCCCGCAAGTCCGCGAGTGGAACCGCATGGCTCCCCGCGGACGGCAGCGAGAGCAGCTCGGGATTGCAGTTCCCGCAGAGCTTCCGAGGTGTCGACGCCTGCCGGTGGAGCCCCCAGCGCGTCAACTGAGTCACGCACGCGTTCCATGATCCGCTGCTGCATCAGCGACAGAGGGCCCCCACTGAGTTGACCCTCTCCGCCCGGCACAACGCCAGGGGAGTGAGAAAAATGAATTCAGGGCGCAAGCCGCCCTCCGAACGTCGAGGTCACGAGCATGGCGCTGCCGAGCCCGCTGACGGCATCCCCGCGACAAAAATCCACCATCGGCAGGGCGCGCAGAGGCGACCGGCGGGACAGGCAGAGGTAGAGGATTGCGGGCAACCAGCCGAGCGGGCTCATCACGACCAAGGGAAGAGCGTTCAAACTCAGCATGCGAAGGCGCCCCCCCGTTGCCTGGCAACCGGGAGCCACGAAGGGAGCGCTCCATACGCCCTCAACCTTGATCGTCTTTCATGCCCTTCTTGAGAGCCTCCTTCTCTTCATGAGCCTTTCGGAGGTACTTCGCCAGGGCAGCTTCACATCCAACTTTCGTGCGTACAAACTGGATGAACTCGATGCACCAGGACGTCGTGCGAGGGCCCGTCACCAGCCAGTCGAGTCCGAAGTCCTCCTCGCGAAAACGGGCGGCCATGACGGACCCCGTCACCTCGCGCCGGGCGCCCGTGCGCACGACATGCATTACGCGAGCGTCCGTCGCCACGGCGTGCCCCATGAACGACTTCAACTCGTCCGCCGGCACCTCCTCCACAAGCAGTGCACTGCCGTCCCCGAGGGTGTGGAGGTCGCGCCCGCGCACTGCGGCCGCCGTCGCCACGTGGCCAGGCACCTCGTCGCCGTACCGCGCGTCCCCCAGCGACTGCGCCGCCCGCCAGCGTGCGCCAGCGTCCGCCGCCGCCGCCTGAGCCGCCACGCCCTGCAGCTCACCTGGGCGAGGCCAAGCAGCCACCGCAGGCCCGGCCGCCGCCGCCGCCGCGGCGGGGGCGGCGCCGCCCGGCCCGCCCGGCACCAGCGCGCGGAAGCCCGGCACCGTGAGCAGGTCAGGCCGCCCGATTGTGGCCGCCACGATGCGACAGCGATGATCGGCCAGCAGCTCAGCATCTCGAAAGAACACCTGCTTCTCCACCGCCGTCGGCTCGAGCGGTACACCCGCGCAGGATTCACACCGTTGGGGACGTCGTTCCATCTCACACTCCACCAAACCAAATCCACATCTTCATTATCATTGTCCTCATACTTCTCAATATATATATATATATATATATATATATATATATATATATATATATATATGTGTGTGTGTCGCCGTCCGGCGTGGTACCGACATACTCAGAAGCCGATGGCGCCACGCGGCCGGGAACCCACCTTTGGCGAACCAGGTCGTCCCCGACGTAGCCCACCCACCCGCACTCTATGGCCCACGACCTTCACGAACAGGAGCGTCAGCAGCCCGCCGCTGATGGCACCGCCCAGCAGCCCTCGCAAGAAGGCGTGCCAGACGTCGCACGGCTCAGGCTCCGCCGGCCGCTCGCAAGCAGCGCAGGCGGGGCACGACTGAGGCGCCTCCGCACGCCCTTCGGGCGTGCCTCGCGGCGCCTCGGCCGCCACCGCGGGGCAGGTCAGCGCAGGGCACGCTGGGCAGCTGACCGAAGCTGGCGGAGGGCACGTGAACGAGGGGCAGGTGGGACAGGTCAAGGAGCAGCTCGGGCACTCGGGCGCAGCGGGGCACCGATGGAGGTACGCGACGGTCGCGTCGACTGCTCCTCCCAGCGCCAGCTGCCACATCCGCGTCCCGCGCGGACCGCTCCCCCCGTTACGCCTTGAGCCCAAACGGTTAAGGCGGCCCGACCCACTCATGCTCCGCAAAACGCGCTAGTGCAACTGCAATCCCTATATTTTTCATTTTTGGGGGGGTTTTGTCTTCCCCCCCACAATTCCCATATTTTCCAATATTTTCTGGGGAATCGTCGGTAAATTGTGTCTGTATGTTTTTTCCCCTCCTGGTGTACCCCCCCCCCCCCAAGAGCCGCGCACCACCTAAGGCCACGCCCCTCCTGCCCAGGGCCGCTCTGGCGTGCAGCCCACGATGAAGGGGCCCTGGGACACACAAATAGATACACACACACACACACACACGCACACACACACACACACGCACACACAAATAACAGGATTCCTTATATATTCCTGTTTTTTGATGGTTTTTGTCTTCCCCCCCAATTCCTATATTTTCGAATATTTTCCTGGGAGTCGACGATTCATTGTGTCTGTGTGTTTTTTCCTCTCCTGATCCGGGTGGGCCCAGCCCCGCACTCTCTGGAGCCAGCGCCCGGGTCGCCGCGACACGGGCCTGGCGCAAGCACCTCGGGGCTCCGCACCGACTTCCTGGGTCTGCGCGGGGGCCCCTCCCCGACGCGGCGGGGGCGCGGCAAGGGCGCCGAGGGGGGTGCCGCCGCGGGGGGGGGGCACCTGCGAAGATCCTGAAGGAATCCGCGCGGACCTCCGGAAGTCTGTGCTCGTATACGATTTCTTCCTTCGACGCGGGGCCGCGCACCGGAGGCCGTTCCGACGGCGTGCCATTCTTGCGTGCACCGGGCTTTCGGTATCAGCGGGGCCGCCAGGGGGACCCCTGTAGCCTGTGAAGATCCCTCACATCCACGCGGACCTCCGGAAGTTTGTGCTTACGTCGACGCAGGGCCGTGCACCAAAGGCCGTTCCGACGACGTGCCATTCTTGCGTGCACCGGGCTTTCGGTATCAGCGGGGCCGCCAGGGGGGCCCCTGGGAAGATCCCCAAAATCCACGCGGACCTCGGGACATGTATGTTTTTGCACATTTGCTCTTCCACGCAAGGCCGCGGACCAGAAGCCCGTTCCGACGACGCGCCGCTCTTACTTGCACCCGGCGTCCGCTATCAGCGGGGTCGTGAGGTACTTGTAGCCCTTCCCCGTGACGGTGGCCGCAGTCTCCCGCCAATTCGCGAGTACCGTGTCCACGCACTCCTGTGAGCATCGTTTGGACGGTCCGTATCCGCACTGGCGTGGCCTTGGCCCTACTGGCCGATCTACCCCCTAAGATGGGGAGTTATGCTGTTCCCCGCGGGTTTTGCTCGGCCGATCCACAACGGGGGGGGTGATGGTGGGGCTGAGAAACGATGGCCCAGTGGGGATGGGGATCGTGCAGTAGAGCAACAACACAACAGCAGAAATACAAAATTGCAGAGGCCCGCATGGACCTGTCCGATCTGCGCGGAGCCCCCTTCCCTGGCGCGCAAGACATCCGCGCGGAGCTCCGAGTTTATGCTTGTGGTATGTTTTTCTATGTTTTCTAGACGAGCGCGCTCCACTACTCGCACAGTATCTGCTCGCAAATGGCGTGGATCCGACGCGGCGAAATTACGATCCACTGCATCGAGGCAGACATGTATTTTTGGTACGCTTGCGAGTAGGCGCTTTTCCAGTACAGCCGAACATATGAGCGAGAGCATCGTCAGCTAAGACATCTGGGCCAGCTTCCCGGATGTTGCTTTAAAAAAGCCTGGGCCAATTTCTGACGTTGACGCTGGAGGGGCGAACGTGCTCAGGAAACTGGGCCATCTTTCTGGCAAGCTGGTTCAGAAACGCTGGCCGAGCTTTTCGGGCGGAGATGTCCTACTCCGCTGCTCGACTGTAGTGGAACGCGCTCGGTCATTTTTCGAGTTAAGACGAGCGCGGTCCACTACTCGCATACTAACTACTCGCAAATGGCCTGGATCTCCCCCGGGGGATCTACGATAACTTACATCAACGCAGACATGTTTTTTTGCCGCTGTCAGTAGGCACTCTGCGAGTAGTGGAACGCGCTCTGTGAGAATTGATCTATGCTGGTCCTTGCTGTCCCACATGTCGGGGAGGGGCTGGCTGCCGGGGCAGCCCTCGAGCGGCCAGAAGCCCACGCCCGTGGCCTCGGAGAACTCCCAGCAGTTGCAGTGCCCCTCGGCGTTCGGCGTCGCTGGAGGGTTGGCCTCGGTGTCTGTTGCTCCCATCGTACTTCAGGGTCGTATCCAAGGAACAAAAAGCTCGAGCACCCAGAATCTGCCCGACGCGCTGGCGAAGCGTCGATCGAATGCCCCCAAGGGCCCGACACGTCAAAACCCTCCAGTTTCGGTACCGTCAACCCGTATGATAAGGATACGAGGTAAGGATGCAAGGGCCTTGGAGGGCCACATTAACGCTTTGAGAACGAGGCTGGCCAGCGAAAGTCGCTCAGGATGGGCAGAAGGGGCGAGGATGCAGAGGTACCCTTGGGAAGGTTGCCCATCCTTACTGTGCGGGTTGACTGTACTTTCCTTTGGTGCTCGGAATTCTTCATCGAAATCATGGCTGTAAAGTCTGAGCAGTTCCTTAGGGTGGAGGGCTCAGGATGACATCCATGTGGGCCTTTGCACCTCGAGAATCAGTCCGTCTTGCGACTCACCTTTTGCAGCTTCAAGCATCGAAAATCCATCGAGACGGCATTTCAGATTTCACCCTTTGCCCCCCACCCGAAGACACTGCTCGGAGCGTATGGGGTTAGGTCGGGCGTGTCCCCCGACAGGGGGATTTTGGGCTAAGAATAAAACATACTAAAAAAATACCCCCCCCCCCAATGGGCAAAAATAGTCAACAAAATCGTCCCCAGATCATGTTGTCCCTACCTAGGCTCTGCCTAGAAGGGTTCTTACCCTCTGGGCTTAAAGGGCCGGGCAGTGGAAATCGCCCCGGGCGGTTCCCCCGGCATCCGCCCCGCGGTTCCCCCAGTAACGTCCCCTCTGTGGGTGTATTCTGTGGCGCTCGTGTGTGCCAACCGCGTTGCCAGTTTAGTTTTCTGCTCGGGTAATTAGCATGGGTGCAATTCCCTACCTAAGCGCTGCCTAGAGGGTTAGCTTAGCTTAGCATAGCTTGGCATAGCGCAGCGCTGCAGTAGCATAGCATAGCATAGCATAGCATAGCATATCATAACATAACATAGCCAAGCATAGCATAGCATAGCATATCATAGCACGGCACAGCGCAGCATGACATGACAATAGCTTAGCATAGCTTAGCACATCATAGCATAGTTTAGCATATTGTAGCATAGCATACCATAGCATAGCGCATCATAGCATGGTATAGCATAGCATAGCTAATGTTGCTTTCCTAGGGGCTCCAACTTGTAGGTAGGGTCGCACTGGGGTAATTTTACTATTTTGAATATTCCCCCTGTAGAGGGACAGGCCCGACTTAAGTATAGGGCGCGGAACATGAGAAGCCTCCTCCTCCTGCTCCTCCTCCTCCTGCTCCTCCTCCTCCTCCTCCTCCTCTTCTTCTTCTTCTTCTTAGTATTCTTCTTATTCTTCTTCTGCTTCTTCTTCTGCTTCTGCTTCTGCTTCTTCTTCTTCTTCCTCCTCCTCCTCCTCCTCCTCCTCCTCCTCCTCCTCCTCCTCCTCCTCCTCCTCCTCCTCCCCCCCCTCCTCCCCCTCCTCCTGTGCAGGGCCGCACGCGAGGAACACGAGAAGCCTCGGTGTCCAGGTGGGCGGCGGGGCAGTCGCCCGAGGCGTCCTCTGCGGGCGTGCAGGGCGCGAGGCACTTGCCGAACATGTTGCCCATGCAGCTGCCCTTGATGTCGGGCTCGTTCGCTCCGAGGACGACCGGCGGCGCGCACACGGGGGGGGGGGGCTCTGGATCGCTGGATAATCGCCCCCCCCTTGGAGTGCCAGGGAGGGTTGGCCGCGGCGCTTCCGCAGGGGTGCCAGGGGGGGTCTGGGGTTCGTTCCCTTCCCCGCCGGGGCGCGGGGGTGGTGCCGGGGGGGGTTGGCCGAGCCGCGCTTTCACGTTTGTCACCCCCCAGTTGACTGAAAAGAAGTTCGGGGTAGGGTCAGATCGGGCATGTCCTCCTGCAGGCGGAGGAGGTTCGACGAAAAATGAAGCATACCACCCCCAAGTGCTCAAACACACGCCAACGTAGTCACAAAATCGTCCCCGGATGATTCGTGGAATCTTTCTTTGGATACGCCTCCTGTAAAGGCACAGGCCCGACTTGAGGGCAGGGGGGGCGGGCCCGGAGATCCGAGGAGATGCCGCTCTCGACGCGGCGGTGCTTTCCCGGAGGTCGGCCTCCAGGGCCCGTGGTGGGGCCCCGGGGGCCATGCGAAGGGGCCTGCAGGATGAAAAGCCCCGCCCCCGGGAGAAGGGGTCGCGACCTCTGGGGCCGCGGCCATGATCTTGAAGGGGCCCTGGGACACACACACACACACACATATAAATACACACAAATATAACCAGATTCCTATATTTTCCTATATTTTCTGGGTTTCTGTCTTCCCCCCCACTCCCCATATTTTCCCATATTTTCTGCGGAATCGACGAGTAATTGTGTCTGTTTTTTTTTCTCCCCTCCTGACATCTCTGTGTGTTTTTTCCCCTCCTGAGATGTGCACGAGCGAGATGGGCACGGAAAGAATGGGTACAATGCCCAACCGCGGATCCTGTCCATTTTGAGCAGGGCTCGCTGTCCAAGCCGCCGCGGCCCGTGTCCGCTCGGGACAGAAGGCCGCCTGCCCAACAGCGGCCGCTGTTGGTTTGGGGCAACATTTGTTGTTTGGGCATTGTGCCCATTTTTCTGTACCCATTTCGGGCGCCCAAACATGAAGAAATCAGATCGGCGGATGCCCGGGGGGGTCCTCTTTAGAAGCGTCCCTGCTTCTCTAGAGGTAGGAAAAACGGCATAAACATAAACTGTTGGCGCTCCGCGCGGATTTCTTGGATCCGCGCTGGGCCCCCCTCCCTGGCGCGCGGAGCGCGCCAGGGGCGGCGCCAGAGCGCCAACAGTTTATGTCTATGGCGTTTTTTTTCTTTTTGGGCTTATTATTCTCATCTTTATTATTATTCGTATTATTATTATTATTATTATCATTATTATTAGTAGTAGTATTATTATTACTACTACTACTACTATTATTATTATTAGATTATCAGAAGGCGCGGGGACGTATATGTGACATGTCGTGCCCGCGCCCTCTAAGAAGCAGCCCAGGAAGCCGAGGGCGGCCCAGAGCATCCGTGGACCGGGCACGAGCACCGTGCCCCGCGCCCGCGCGCGCCGGACCCGCTCACCCACAGCCTGCTCGCCTCGCAGCGCTGGCGCCGCCGCCTACTCCGCCTCCTCCGCCTCCTCCTCCTCCTCCTCCTCCTCCTCCTCCTCGGCCTCCACTTGGCTCCTCCTTGCCCAGCTCGGCCTCCTCCTCCTCCTCGGCCTCCACCAGCTCCTCTTTGTCCTCCTCGGCCTCCTCCTCCCCCTCCTTCCCCTCCTCCTCCTCCTCCTCCTCCTCTTCCTCCTCTTCGGCCTAAGAAGCAGCCTCCTTTTAAGAAGCCCTGCCCCCTCCCACTATCCCCCCTCTGCGCGCCGCCAGGAAGAGGTCGGCCATCTCCGCGTCGCAGACCATGCCGTTGGAGTCCTTGTAGCCGACGGCCCCAGCATCCCGCACGTACTCGGCGTTCACGGCGCCCATGCCCCACTCCTCGGGCACAAAGATGAAGTCCTCCAGGAGGGCGCCGATTACAGTCGAAACGCTGCCTCAGGGAACCCTGAATAAGGAACGAGGCCCCTTCTATCCATGAGTTTAACTTTGATTTCCCACAGGGAACCTAAGGAAGACCAAAGACAAACTGTAAGACAACTGAGGAACACCGAGCCCCTCCCCAACGAAAAGGGTTCCTTCTTCAGCGACCGAGCTGTATTCACCAACGCCGATCCTGGCCAGGCCTCTGCTGGGCCCCAGGGCTTTGCGCATGCCCTCCTGGATTGTCCAGGGAGGCGTGAAGCACCAACCCTGTGCCCAGGATTCGGCCTGGCCATGATCGGCGTTTGTGTGAAATTTCCGCTGCCCGGTCCTCGGTCAGGATCTCCTCTCCATTCTCCGTGGTCTGGGGCGCCAAGTTCCAGTTCCAGAACGAGACCTTTCCGAAACTGCTGCTCTTCTTGAGCGCGTCGAGGAACCGCTGCGTCTCCTGGGCGGTCCCTCCGTCGCGCTTGATGCCAGGGATCACGCCCACGAGCCTGGGGGAACAGAACGATGCCGATACCGCTACTCCCCCGACCACTCCCGGGGTGCGCTCTGACGAGGAACCTGGGAAAGATGCAACCGTGCACGGTTTAGCACCCCGTAGGTAGCGTAGTCGTAGAGTCGTACTAGTCGTAGAAGGTAGTCGTAGTCGTAGTCGTAGGTAGTCGTAGGTGTAGTAGGAGTGTAGAGTAGTAGTAGTAGTAGTAGTAGTAGTAGTGAGTATTAGAGTAGAGTAGAGGTAGTGGTAGTAGTAGTGTAGGTAGGTAGGTAGGTAGTAGTAGTAGGGTAGTAGTAGTAGCAGGATTAGTAGTAGTAGTAGTAGTAGTAGTAGTAGTAGTAGTAGTAGTAGTAGTAGTAGTAGTAGTAGTAGTAGTAGTAGTAGTAGTAGTAGTAGTGTAGTAGTCGTCGTCGTCGTCGTCGTCGTCGTCGTCGTCGTCGTCGTCGTCGTCGTCGGAGTAGTAGTAGTAGTAGTAGTAGTAGTAGTAGTAGTAGTAGTAGTAGTAGTGGTAGTAGTAGTAGTAGTAGTAATAGTATTAGTAGTAGTAGTACGTGGTAGTACGTAGTAGTACGTAGTAGTAGTAGTAGTAATAGTAAACAGTGAAGTAAAAAGGGTAGTAGTAAGTAGTAGTAGTAGTAGTTCGTGAGTAGTAGTAGTAGTAGTAGTAGTAGTGGTAGTTTTAGTGTTTAGTAGTAGTAATAGTAGTAGTAGTAGTTGTAGTATGTAGTAGTGTAGTCGTGGTAGTAGTAAGTAGTAGTAGTTCGTGTCGTATCGTAGTAGTAATAGTATTAATAGTAGTAGCACGGAGGAGGGAGGAAAGAGGAAGAGGAAAAGGAGGAGGAGGAGTAGGAGGAGAAGGGGGAGGGGGAGGAGGAGGAGGGAGAGATGGAGGAGTAGGGAGTAGTAGTAGGGAGGAGGAAGAGGAGGAGCAGGAGGAGGAGGAGGGAAGAGGAGGAAGAGGAGGAGGAGGGAGGAGGAAGGAGAAGGGAGGAGGAGGGGAGGAGGAGGCCGGAGAGGATGAGGATGATGAGGAGGAGGAGGAGGAGGACGCGTCGCCTAAGCCCTTCGGAGAAAGCCTCCACTCTCTGGACCTCTCCCGGGGTGCGCTCTGACGAACAGCCTGGGAATGATCCAACCCTGGTGACGAGAGCCCATGTGCCCTCAGGATGCCTCCCCCAGAGCAAGATCGAACCAGGAAATGGCGGCATCGGCGTGCCCTTGAGCCTGTCTTTTTAATTATGATAAGCGATAACGCGCCTGATCGGGGGAAGGGGAGTGGGGGAGTTCGTGTTGTACGGTTTCCCCCGGGCCGTAGGCGACCCGAGGAGGAGGAGGAGGAGGAGGAGGAGGAGGAGGAGGGGGAGGAAGAGGAGAAGGAGGAGGAGGAGGAGGAGAAGGAGGAGGAGGGGGAGGAAGAGGAGGAGGATGAGGAGGAGAAGGGGGAGGAGGAGGAGGAGGTTGAAATGGAGGAGGAGGAGGAGGAGGACGAGGAGGAGAAGAAGGAAGGAGGGAGGAGGGGGAGGAGGAGGAGGAGGAGGAGGAGGAGGAGGAGGAGGAGGAGGGGGAGGAGGAGGAGGAGGAGGGGTCGCCTGAGCCCTGCGGAGAAGCCCTCAAGTTCGCGTCCCCCAATCACCATCACGGCGGGGGGCCCCCGGCAATCTTAGGTGACTCGAAGAATCCGTATATAGGGCACCTCTGCGAGCGTGGGGAAAACCAGCGTGACGTGATCCCGGGGGGGATGGTGAGGGCCGATCACGGCCGTCATTAGAGAGCAGAGTATTTTAGGAGGTATCTGCTGGGAAGTTTTCGCCGGAACGATTAAAGAGGATTAAGCCCCATTGGGGGCCTGTTATGCTAGAATGGGCCTCGGATTAAGCCGAATTCAGCGGGATTAACCGGATTTCGGACCAGGGCACAATCCGAATTTGACCTCCCAGGAGTGGCATCCGAAGAATGTCCACCCTCATAAGAACCACCCCGACACGCGAAGCCGTGCAGCAAACGCGCCCAAAAAGGAGGGGATCGAGAACGGCAGGGCGGTTTGGTGAACGCCCACTGGGCCGTCTGGTAGACGTCTCAAGTATGGGGAGCGCGCTGGATGCCCCTCCCAAGCGTTATCGCTCTAGAGGCCTCCTAGATGGGGTCGGAGTAGATAGTGTCGGAGGATCGCGCCGCATCGCCGATACATCGGCGATGTATCGGCGATGCATCGGCGACGTCGACGTGGGGCAAGAGGGGCTCCACGTCGAGCCGCATCGCCGATTCATCGGCGATGCGGCGCGATCGTCCGACCCCATCTATCTGCTCGGACCCCATCTGCGAGGCCTAGACGCTGAGACGCCAAACAAAAACCATGCTCCTTCAGACTCCTTCTCCTGCGAGGAGCCCGCAGCCCCAGTTGGGGCCGTCCCCGGCCGCGGCCAGGCTGGACGAGAGGCCCGGCGCCGCGCGGTGGGCGGCGCTGCTCCCCTTCGGGGGGGAGGACCTCCGCCGCCTGCTGCCTCTCCCCGCCTCCCAGGCTCGGGCCCATCATTTGTGACCAGGAGTGGCTCGGGCGTTGCTTACAGTGGAGGCCAGTCCACAGGAAGCCCTCCACAAGAAACCGAGCCCTGAGACCCCAGGACGTCCACTGATTCTTGGTGTGGGAGCGGCACGCCCTCCATGGCAAAAGCATCGAAGCCCAAGAAACTCAGGGCACCTGCTTGGCCGCGATACTTTCGGCCGCCAGCGGGCAAGGAGATCCCCATGTCTCCCAACCCCATCCTCCCAACCCGATAATTCTTTTCCTGATGAATTGGGGGGCGATCATTGGGGGGGGGGCAGAGCAGCGCCCGCTCTACCAACGCAAGGGGAGCCCGGTGGCAGAGTGCGGAGACGACACGACCGACGGACGACAGACGGGGGCGATGGAGGCGCGGGGGGAGCGCGTGGGGGGCGGGGGAGGCGGGAGAGCTCGCCACCGCATCGGACGCCCCTTCCCCATGCACTTGTCGATTTCGTGCGTGTCGCAAGGGTGATGCAGGATGCTCCTCGGCGGCCCTCGCCGACGAAAATGAGGCACACACGCGTGTTACTTCTTGGCAAGGTGATTCAGGATGCTCCTCGATGGCCCTCGCCGAAGAACACATGCACACACGCGGGCTGATGTTTCGCAGGTTGGCCCAAGATGCTCCTCGAGGGTCCTCGCCGAGGAATAAACAACTCACACGTCCGAGCGGTGCCAGGAGGAGGGGGGGAGGAGGGGTGCGCCCGCGCGCGCGCCCCACGCGCGAGCGCGCGCGCTCCGCCGCGCTCCGCCGAGGAGGCCCCCCGCGGCGCTCGGCCGGGCCGGGCGGGGGGGGGGGAGAACCGTGCGCCCCTCTCGGGCCCCAGGAGGCCCCTTTGGCGGCCCTCCAGGGGCCCTACAAAACCCCTGCTACTCCTCCTCCTCCTTCCTTCTTCTTCTCCTCCTCCTCCTCCTCCTCCTCCTCCTCCTCCTCCTCATCGTCATCTCTCTTTTCGCCTCCTCCTCCTCCTCATCCTCCTCCTCCTCCTCCTCCTCTCTCCTCCTCCTCTCTCCTTTCTCCTCGTTCCTCCTCCTCCTCCTCCTCCGTTCTCCTCGTCCTCGTCCTCCTCGTCCTCTGCAAAAGCCCTGTTCTGCAGTCCTCGCTGCCCCCCCCCCTTTCTCACCCCCGGGCACATGCCTCCCCGGCCAGGCCATTAGAGCCCCGTAGGGAAGACCCAAACATCTGATGCCGCGCGTTCGTTCCGCAGCGTGGCTCCTCAGAGGTCCGGACCACTGTCGGGCACACGCAAGAGCAACCCCAGGCAAAAGTGACCTTTTAGTGCGCCACTTCGAGGAGCGCGGGAGGGCGAAACCTGGGCAGGGAAGCAGCTGATATCGCATCGCATTCAGCCATCTGGGGACCCCTATGTACCCGCACCACAAGTCACTCTGGCGCAAGGTCGCTCTTACGTGTAACCGACACTTCCCGCGGACTGGCTTTTCATCCCGAACCGTTTTTTGACGGCCCCAGGGCCCGTAGGGATGCCGAGGATCGACAGAAACCTCCCGTCGCGATGTTTTCACGAAGCGAGGGGATTTGAGCAGGGGCCGACCGCCCCGGCATGCTTAAATAACACAAGCGAAGTTCTTAGATCATAAGCCCGGTTGGTAATATGTTTTCTATATGTATATATATATATATGTTTATGTATATATATACTCGTGTGCATATATATATATGTATATAAGACTGTGTACACACGTATACGTTAGAACCATGCGCGCGCTACGCGCGCGTTTAGGTTCTAGTCACGGCATCATGGCGCCAAAACGTGCCACGGCAAGCAGCGCCATCGACAGCGGATCTCGTTCCAGAGGGTCCTGACGGCCGACCCTCCTGGAGCCTTGGAAATCTCGTACACTGTTGCCTC